CGATCAGTCTGTAATTTTCAAGGTACACGGCCCTCTGTAAAAATGGTTTTAAAGGCCCAAGCTATTTCATTGCCTGACTGGTCTTTTAAACCCATGGCCCAGGCATACTTTGATAATATGTCTATCGCTGTTAAGATGAACTTAACCCCATGATTGTGCTTGGAAAACTGCTGCATATCCACCAAATCTGCCTGCCATTGCGCATCAATATCTGAAACAACAGTCTTGTTTCTTTTAAAACATCTTCTTGCCGGTTTGTGTAGGGTGTAAGCATCCTGATCTGAAAGTCAGGCAGCCACCCTGCTTCCGTTCAGAACCTTATTCTGCCTTTTGGTGGCTTCAAAAAGCGTGTTCACCCCACCAAAACTGCCAGCTTCACCAGGAGAGTAATAAACTTCCTTTAACATAGCCTCCTGTGTAGACATGTCTGGTAACCATTTCCCCAACACCCACCCCATGCTAACACCTGTGTGGTGCGTTCAAATGCTTGAGGACAAATTTAAACCATGGCACAAAGATACCATCTTCCAAATTCTCAGCGTCTGCTTCAGGGGCCTGGGCATTAGGTCATAACTGCACTACGTGATCTAGAGCAGTTCTTGCAGCATGAGGGGTTGGGCTTTGGGGGTCTGCATGGACTGTCTTCTGATGCCATGGACCATGTGGTGTTGGTGTCACACACCACGTGACTGGGGGTGGGGGTGGAGTTGCTGATGTCACAAACCATGTGACTGGGAAGTGGGGGCAGTGTTGCAGATGCCACACACTACGTGACTGGTGCGGGGGCAGAGTTGTGATGTCACACACCATGTGACTGGGATCAGGGGGTGGGGCTGGTGATATCATGCACCACATGACAGGGGTCAAGGGCGGGGCTGGTAACATCACATGCCATACAAGGGGAAATGGGTCGGGGTGAAGGGGGGCGGGACATCCAGTCCCACCCACCTGCCATATCTACATTGAAGGGGAGTGAGCCTATATACTACTCTGGAGGGGAACCATTTAAACAATACATGTTTACTGATGATATTTTGAACAAAGTCATTCCCCTGAATCGGTGGAAATCGTTAGCCAGGCACCTTGAAACAGAGTGCCTTCAGATGCTAAGCCAACTTTTCACAGCAGTAGCTTCCCTTGCAGGCACAGAGAGAATATTTTCATCGTTTGTTATTATTCACTCAAAGCTAAGAAATCGACTGGGAGTTGAAAAAGCAGGAAACTCCTATTTCTGTTTTAGTCCATTAAAAAAAATGACGGTGGGAGTGAGGAAAATGAGATTAAATTGTAGAAGTTTTAAGGACAGCGTACATTTAGTGTTGTGATGACTTATCTGTTAGAGTTAATAAAATTTGAATATAAAAAAAATGTTTAAAGACATGTTGTAAAGTGTTGTATTGAATTGTAAATTACCATGTTTTAGTGATCACATTTGTGCCATTGTTTAAAAAATATGTGAAGAAGAATCAGTGGGTAACATGATTTTAAATCAATGATTTAAAGCAGGGTTATCTCTTGGAGATTTAAACCATAATTTCAATCAATGATTTAAATCACCTTGATTTAAATCAATCAACCCTGGCTCAGCATGAACAGGTCCCTCTCTCCACTTGCAGACTTCCACTGTCCACTTCCACTGTCCCTCTCTCACTTGCAGACTTCAGCATTTAAGGTCTAGGAAGTTATAATTCAGAGGTTGTGCCCCTAATTCCCATGCTCAATAGCTACTGATGCCCCTTTCCTCTAAGAATTTGTTCAAACCCGTTTTCTTTAAACTGGCTAAACTGTCAGCTTCCACAACATCTGTTGGCAATGAATTCCACACTTGTATTATACATGGGGTGAAAAAGAACTTCCTTTTGTTAGTTTTAAGTTTATTACCTACTACTTTCATTTTGTGACCCCTAGTTCTTGTATTGTGAGTGACAGCAAATAATAAATCCTTATTTACTTTCTCATTGCCATTTAGTATTTTGTAAACCCTTGTAATGTCCATTCCCAAGAGTCTCTTTTCTAAATTAAATAGATCTAGTGTGGCAAAGTGGGAACTCCCTGACCAGCCACAGTGCTAGTCTCCCACCTGCCTCTGGGTATGCCACCTGCCTTTCTCACCTGCCATGCCTTATTGTTAAAAAATTAAGGTTTTAATTAGGCAGGAGGCTGCCCTTCAGATGCCCCGCTTTTCAGGGCCTATGTATGCAGCTCCAACTTCCCATATACTGCATCCCAAGCCTCGCAGATGTTTCTGACAGCTGTGTACGGCTCCAGCCTGAGGCCAGGCTTAACTCATCCCAGTGTAAGTATCATCTGGCTTTCTTTTGGTCTATTTTCCATTGTTTTTGATTTGCAGCATGCATTTGTTCTGTGCCTCTAATATGGTGTTCCTGAGCAAATCCCACACTCTTT